TGTTAGACCACCATTAGAAACCTGGAAGCACTGGACGGCCGTTTCGTTTTGGTATGGGACTCCTCAGCAGTGCGCATCCACCATTCCGGAGGTCCTGGGTTCGAATCCTGCGGGGTGCAGGAGTCGTGGATGCGCACTGCTGAAGAGTTCGATACCAGGACGAAACGGCCGTCCAATGCTTCCAGGTTTCTAATAGTGGTCTAACATTGATCGATTCATGGTTTCAAAAAAGTTTTATTAATGACAAATTGTTACAACCAAAGTACATACTTTCTGAAAGCAAAGACTTTTGAAATGTTAGTTGAAATGATAGACAACGAATGAATGACTGCAATTCAGTAAAAAATTATCCGTTCTCTGAAAAATATTCATCCTTTCTGGCTGTAAGTATGAAGTAAAAATATTTTATGAAATATATGAGAAATAGTAGGATTTCTTAGTAAGATTCATGTTTCACTTTAGGTATGACAATTCAATCTGCTATATAGGATTCCTAATTCTAGGATCTATCGTCAAGAAATCAAGAATGTTGATGTATTCAACGAGAAAGTGATTGAAATAACGGTCGTTAAACTTTGGTTTTCGAATATTTACAAAGAAAAGAAATAGACTTGTCTCGGGAGAGCGAAACAGATTGACGCATGATCGATAAATCGTTTACAGATTTGAATTTAAATTACCCACATCCGGAGAACATCTACACTCAGATCAACGACGTCTTAGATGGCATTAAATTCACGATGGAAAAGGAATCAAACAACAGTCTATCATTCCTAGATGTACTAATCACCAGAACTAACACAGGAAAACTAGAAACTCAAGTATTTCGGAAGCCAACCCACACCGACGTAATTCTCAACTACGACAGCAGCAACCCAAGAACCTACAAGATTAACTGCATACAAACTTTGTTCAAGAGAACGAAGACACATTGCAGCACATACCAAGGCACTGAAAAACAAAGAAAAACGCCTTATGACCATCTTCCAAAAGAACGGCTATGCACGCAACTTCATCAAAAAACATCAACCGAAATCATCAACAGAAGCGAAATCAAGTACAGGAACCAATAAACGGATCATCCTGTCATACATAAAAGACATATCGGAGCATGCAGCACGACTACTGAAACCATTTGGAATAGGTGTGGCACACAAACCAACAGAATCACTTACAATCAATCCTATGTCGACCAAAGGACAAAATAAATTGCTCAAACTGTGAAAAACACTACATAGGACAAATTGGACGGCCTCTTCAGCTTCGTTTACGTAAACACCAATTAACAGTCAAACACCACGACAACGCTTCGCTTATATCAATACATACCGACAATTATGGACACACATTTGATTGGAACAATGTGGAAATACTAGATAGGAGTGGCAAAAAGAACACTAGAGAATTTTTAGAAGCTTGGCATCCAGATTAATCAGCAATCAACAAACACATCGACATTGATCCAATTTATCAAACAATCAGGAAAATCATAGGAGACATAGGATCAAGAAACAAATCAAAAGGGTAATGCAATCAAAACAAAGGTGCAAACAAAGTCAGGTTTAACGTTAACAACAACCAATCAAGATCGAGGTTAGCAGAACAAGCTACAGGTCAAACGTAGAGAAATTCGAATGCTTCACTTCTATCTGAAGTTTGTGCTGATGATGTTGTTCAGAAGAAGAACAATGAAAGCTCCACAACCGAAACATCCAGCTCAGAGAACCGAACACCACCACCACCACAATTAACATTACCGTCAGTTGCTCAATCTTAACTCAACAATATAAAACAGGTTTCGAACGTAGTCTTGATTGTATCCTTTGAATTCTTCGGTAAAAACATCCTATCATATGTATAAATTACCGATATCCAACTTTAGTAATATTCTTCAAACGACAAAGAAACTACATCTTCGCCAGTTAAGAGATTAAATGAAGATTTTTGTTATACAAACAAACAGGTGTAAGAGATAAATAAACATCCTGATTCACTGGAAACGTTTATAAATTTTTAGATCTTGTAGTGAACTTTACTTCAAAAACTGGTCAAATTAAGATCTACTTTGTTGATACAAGTTTTTCTATTGACCTATTCTTATCAACGTATTATTATAGTGTAGTGAAGGAGAACACAGGTGGAGCGACCGGATTGTATTTAACGTAAATTACAGAGTTGCTCAGTAAAATCATCGGAAAACCATATCCTAAATCGTTCATTTGCAAAATATCAGTCCATCATATCGAACTGGACTGTTCCTGTTGCAAAAAAACATCAATCCATTGTCACTATTCATGCGTTTCATACAAATTCCATTGTGTTCTAACTCTTCCTTTCTTGATCTTACCCCATCTTCTGCTGCCAGACATTACGTTGACACTCACGTCATATACTACTTATAAGTAGCGCGCACCACAATAGTTGCCTATTTGAATGGAAGACACATTGAAATTAGTATAGACACAAAAATTAAGTTTCTACTGAGAATTTCTTCAATTATTGAGTTGAAACAGTAATGGAAAAAGCACAACTCATTTTGTCTGATATATGTTTTTGAGGCCTACTAATTGTTAGTATTATCATCTCTTCAGATCATTAACCTAATCCATGTCGCTTATTATCTCTGTTTTCTTATCCTTGCTCAAGATTCGGTCCTCTCTCACAATCTGCACTAACTGTTACGCCTGCACGTAAACACGTCAACTTGATATACTTGGACTATTACGAGTTTACCTAGTCTGAAAACAGGAGCGGGGATCCGGTGACACATGCTACTCAAATCCGATTATCCCAACCTCCATATTTAGTAAAAATAAGAAGACATGATATGAAGTAGAATCTGTATTCTAAGCATCCAGAACGTACGAGGTCCGAGTCCAGAAGAGAATTACGATCCCGGACTAGGGATCCTGGACCGTGTCCTGGTCGTGGTCATAAAATGTTACAGATAATGCGTATTTATACATTTTGGTCGAATAGGAAACAGCATTGAATTCTGTGGCATCGACAGTTAAGACGACCAATAGGAAGTAACATTTGAAATGATATTGACAATCAGGATGACCAATAAGAAACAACATTGAGGTATTTGACTTTCACAGTTAAAACGACCATAATTTTGACCAATAGAAATCGACCAATAATTCTCACAGGATATTGGATGAATATCCTAAAACTAACTAAATTATCTATTTATTTACTCAGTTCTGAAATCTTCTTATTATTAGCATTAGAATTTTCTCCTTATTATTACCCAACCCCCCACATTGCAATTAACTGATCTCTGGCCTGGTAACGTAATAGCTGATGGTATCCTGAAATCATCCGACTACTCTGAAGACAAACGTACTTATTCAAATTAAGGGATGTACCAACTCACAAACAACTGTCAACTAACTAGAATTAGTGCAGTCTACAAGGATAGACCACCTATCCATTTAACACTACAAAACACACGAACAAGAATCGAGCGCAAAGAAATCAATTGGTTTATGATAGCTTAGGAAAAAGATATTAGATATTCTCAGCAGTGACTAACTTCATGGCTGAGTTCCAGTGAAAAACTGTGACCAGTGAAGTTTTTGTCGAGTCGAGTACGAAGCAGAGAGACAGACAGATACAACACAGAACTTCGTACGTAAGTACATCAGTTCAGGTTGCCATAAAACATCAGCACACAGACGCAACTGTCAGTTCAAATCCAAGAGTGATAGCAATAATAGAAGTATTAGAGAGTAGTGGAGAAGATTAGGGAGCGATGATATGATTCGATAAGTATAATTCAGTGAGATAAATTTAGAAAGAGAAAGCTAGAGATTATGAGGAATTCAGAAGCAGTAGCTCACCAAAGACAGTAGATGAAGAAACGCAATATTATGAACCAACCAAAGTTAAACATAATGATCAACATAGTAGGGCATCCTCACAAGTAACCAAAAAGTTGACAATTTAGTTCCAACGTGTATTTTTTTGTTTGGTAAATGCGCACTATTTATCAATCTTCGCCTAAGACGAAATGGTACTTTGTTTTTTTGGTACTCTAACATTCAATATTCAAAATATAATTTTCAATTAAACCATACTGTGGTGCGTGCTACTTATAAGTAGTATATGACGCGAGTGTAAACGTAATGTCTGGCAGCAGAAGATGGGGGATGATCAAGAAAGGAAGAGTTAGAACACAATCGAATTTGTATGAAACGCATGAATGGTGACAATGGATTGACCTGTTGGCGGTTGATGTGGAGCTCACCAGATTGTTGCGCCGTGAGGAGTGGGGGGCGCAGCTGTTGGCGTCGCGATCACTCGAGAGTGTACCTGCCGCCGTGCCCCAGCGTCGGGAACTGGTAAACGCTACACGTTGGATACATGCCGTATCCATTCCAAACCAGCGCGCAAGAACAATAACCGAAGTGGTAATCCAGCATATTATAGCGTGTCGCGGAATACGGAAGGTGATATTAACTGACCAGGGTCCCTGTTTTGAAAGACTACTACGACAGCTTATTAAAAGGGGGGACGAGTGTGGTGTGAGCTACTTATAAGTAGTATATGACGCGAGTGTCAACGTAATGTCTGGCAGCAGAAGAGGATGGGGGAAGATCAAGAAAGGAAGAAAGGGGGAACATAATGGAATTTGTATGAAACACATGAATAGTGAGTGAAATGTCAGACAATGGATTGATGATGGATGGAAGATTTACAAATTAACAACGGTTTTACTGAGTAACTCTGTAATTTTCGTTAAATACAATTCGGTTGCCCTCACCTGTGTGCTTCTCCTTCACTACAATACCATGATAACGAAAACACACGCCAAAAATGAAACTCATTTCAATCATTAGCATGAACTACTACTACTCTACACAAAATAATCAATCACCTTCACTGACTTCACATTACGAAAGAAGGAAGAACACATCATGTATTAATTTTAAAAAAATTTTTTATTCAGTTTTTAAACATAAAAACAAAACTATAAAATATAGGAAAAAAAGAGGGGGAAATAATGTACTTTTTAATTTATCTGCACACACATATATATGTATATATATATGCAGATCACTGCATTACACATTAATTACATATCTATGACGATGTCCACGAATTAAATGATTTAATTCAATAATATCAGGAAAATAATAATAATTTCCAGTGACACAACGTGTAAACATCATTATTCGATCAGTTTTGTTATCATCTGCATGACCAGTCATACGATCTAACATAAAATTGAAATTCTTGACATCTTCTGCATAAGCTATAAAAAATAGACCAGCTTCTTTTGATAATGAACCATAAGGTTGAGCTTGTCGAACAATTCGATATTTCTTTTTCGCTTGAAATTTATCAGCTATGAATAGTAATCAGAAGAAGAATGAGGAATGAACATTGTAAAATTAAACAAATTTTAGCGTTGAAAAAAACTAACATACACATTGTTAAATGTCATAAGTGAAAGGTGAAGACCCTGACAAAGTGCAGAGTTTTCTGATTACCCTAAGCAACAATGCAAGCATGTTTGAGATGCGGTTTTTACCCTCGAAATGCAAAATATTGCTTCAAGACTGGGTTGCATCGGCACCTGAACTACTGATAGGGAGTGAAGTAGTCGAGTGTGTGGACTGCTTCACTTATCTTGGGAGTCTCATCAGTGCTGATAACCTGATGAATGACGAAACCTGAGCTCGGATACAGAAGGCTCGATTGGCTTTTGCCAACCTGCGTCACTTATGGCGTAGGCGTGATATCCGTTTGCTGATTAAAGGACGAGTGTACTGCGCAGTAGTTCGCTTCGTCTTACTTTATGGCTGTGAAACATGGCCACTGAGAGTAGAAGATATTCGTCGGTTACTGGTTTTCGATCATAGGTGTCTTCGAAGCATTGCTCGTATATCATGGGACACCCGAGTGAGCAACGCTGTTATTAGAAAACGGGTGCTAGGTAAGAATGGGAGATCAATAAATGAAGTAATGAAACTTCATCAGTTGAGATGGGTGGGACATGTTCTGCCTATGCCTAACCACCGACTGCCTTGACGAGCTTTGTTTTGTAGTGTAGGAGAAAGTTGGAAGAAATTTAGGGGCGGCCAGACCAAAACATGGCAGAAATCCGTGAAGTCACTGACTAGTGGACTGAGTGATGTCGGTAGATGTAGACTACTTGGTTGAGGTCCGCAAGACGAAAGTCACCAATGGTTAGAGACTTTGAACGACATGGCTCAAAATCGTTTGCAATGGCGCAGGTGCATCCATTAGTTGTTCTCTCTCTAATCCTAATCTTCTGTATTCGTCAGCACCTCTACCTTTGTCTTTCTAAACTTACTTATCTCACTGAATTATACTTCTTGAATAATATCTTTGAACCCTAGTCTTCTTCATTACCATTAATACCTCTACTATCTCTACCTCTCACTATGGGATTTGATTCGACATTTGCGTCTGTGTGCTAAGGTGGTATGGCAACATGAACTTATGTACATACGTACAAAGTTCTTACGTTGCAACTGACTGACTGACTCACTGTCATTAAATGAAAACAAGAAACTTACAACCACATTCATTATATGTCCTATATATATTTCTAACTTACATCCAACCATTCTAGCAACATGTGATGTATCCGGTTTATTTTGTAGTTCAATACTATCTTTGATTGTTCGACCGATCCACTGTTCTAATGTGCTATCTACAAATTAAAAAATAAAATTCTCCATGAACATGTATCTTTAATATCAAGATAGTAAATGAAAAAATTATAAGAGTGAGTACAATTTAGACTATTTCTATTTTGGTACATCTAACCTACTGATTGAATAATTAGTCATTTCAGTGGATTATCGGGTTATACACTATTATGCATGCAAAATGTACAACGAATAGTTGCTGAAGTGTCTACTTAAAATTACATAAATAGATTTTATGACCAGTGTTTGCTTTGGTACAACTATCGATGATAATTTATGATTAATTATTCTTCAAAATTTAGCCAATAGAAGGTCTCTGTTGCATTTTGTCATGAACATGTATCGAGGTACCTGATAATCAATGAGAAATTCTACATTGTATTATTCATTAGGAAAACTGATTGCATAAACAGTGGTTGTGTAGTTGATCAGCTAAGTAAAAATTTGAAGGTAGATCGACTAGTTTTCTGGCAATATAGAACATTTCATTCAATGCACATTTAAAACTCGAAAAACTTCAATTTAACAATCAAAGATATTTATTAATCATATGACGTTATGTCACTTACATCCGGTCTTATGCAGCAAAGTCATATTGTGAACCCATCTCTGAGCAACAGCGTAACTTCCTCCGGTTCGTTTATTGACAGCTACATCAACTCGTTCTCTCAATCTTTTAGGGTTCTCCGTACCTTGTCAGAAAATAAGATCAGTATTGAAAAAGTTAGGTTTTTATTGCATTGTATCTGAATTTTATGATATGTAGTATGTGAGAAATTGACCTCAAACTTTTCATCATTATAAATGTCTTGATTACATAAGTAACTTTCATGATATACTACAATGTAATCGATTTCATCACTTCAGTAAATAAAGTGTTCCATTGACTTAATTGTACTTTACAAAAACTTGACATTCATCCTTTATATTTATACTGCACATTCAAATAAACTGTAAGTTAGATTAAATGGGCTAAATTTCAAGACATTATACAAAATGAGTAAACTATGATTAACGTCTTTTATGTGACTTGGACATTCACTAAATAGGATTATTCAAATATGCTTTCATTTCTCAGAAAAATAACCAAACATTATCTTTTTCATTTGCTACAGTTACTACTATCTTACTAAATGCCTTTAGAAGCAAACACGCTTTCAAGAAAGAGACGTATTTACTGACTGCACCTACGAAATAAATCTTGTAATCAGCTTCAGGTTACGTCTCTTTTCATATACAATCAAAACACCATTAATAATCAACACGAAGCTATTATATGTTAAATGACATACCATCAACAAATCCACCCAGATCACGCCCACCACGATAAAGGAAAGAGTATATATCTTCAAATTTCGCCACACATTCAGATGGCATACCAAAGATAATCAACTTCGCCAATTCAAACAACATGCCACGATCATCACTTTTTGCATGGACAAGTATATCACCACCTAGTAAATCAATGAAATAGTTGTTTATGAAGATAGTGACTAGTTTACTCACATTCTAATGATGAATTCTGGATATCAGTGAGCACGTTACACTCAACTCACCTGTATTAGGCAATTTACCAAGACCTCCTATTCTTTCACGATACTCAAAGTTTTCGAATTCTCTATGTCGTGTAGCTGGACTAATATTCCTGAAGAAATTGAATCCAAAACCGACACCGTACAGAATTTCATGTGTTATTTTGGATTCGTAATTGAAATGAATTTGCTTAACATATTCCTAATAAAACAATAAAGTACAAAATCTATATTCAATAAGTAATCTATACTGATTGTGTTGGGGATGTTAGATCCCCAAAATTCACTTGATAATGCCGTATTTCGGTTTTCACGTTCGCCAGCAGGGGCTGATCAAATGACCTTGAGATTTCAACTCCCACCAGGAAAATCAATGGCTGTGATTGGCCACAGTGTATTTTAGTATGCTATTTTCTTAACTGTCTCAAGGACGTTGTTATGTTGTATAAATAAACGAGAGTTGTATGCTTGATTGTACTGGATTGCTGGGTACTTGTGGAATATACTTTCTACGCTTACCAAGACTTCTGTTTTACCGTTGGGTTCAAGGTAGCCTTCCTGGAAGCTGGTAAAAGTATCGTTCGCGTTTATCGACTAAGGTAAACTCGTAATAGCATCAAGCATCCTAAGTGCCGAACATATCAGTGGCGACGGGGCTCACAATTCACAATGTCAATTAATCTTGAACAGTTAGAATCTTTACTGGAACGTCAAGGTAAACGATATGAACAGTTCCAGGAACGTATGTTGGAGCTGTTAATGAAACAAATGAATTTGAATCACAGAGGTTTTGCCGATGATTCATATAATCCGCATACAGACTCGATAGTTAATTCCATTCATGAATTTCATTTTGATGGCCTTGCTGGTGTGACTTTCGAGTCTTGGTTTAAGAAGTATGAGGATTTGTTCAAGGTCGACCTCAACAATCTTGATGACGCCACCAAAGTCAGAATCCTTTTGAGAAAGCTCGGCACAATCGAACACGAACGTTATAGTAATTTCATCCTCCCAAAGAACCCACGAGATTTCTCTTTTGATGCTACAATTGATACGCTGTCGCAAATCTTCTCTGAACAGTCATCTCTCTTTAATATTCGTTATCAATGCCTCAAAATAATCAAGTCAAATGAAGATGACTGGGTAAAGCATGCTGGCTTAGTAAATCGTGAATGTGAACGATTTAAATTATCATCAATGACGGAAGATCAGTTTAAGTGCCTTGTGTTTGTGTGCAGCTTACAATCTCCCGACGATGCTGATATAAGAACCAGAATCCTAAGTAAAATTGAACAGTGCCCAAACATTTCGCTTCAAGAAATAACTGCAGAGTGCCAGAGATTAGTAAACTTGAAGCATGATACCTCCATGGTCGAAAACAAGGGCCTCTCATCATACGTGCATTCCATTAGTGAAAAGAAAAATTCCAATTCGGCCCAAAAACCCAAAATGAATCCACCTTCTGCTTGCTGGCACTGCGGTTCATGGCACTATGTACGGAACTGCCCATTTAGGCAGCATAGATGCAGGAAGTGTAAAGTCATCGGTCATAAAGATGGCTTTTGCCTACAGAAAAAGCCAAAGCGATCCAGAAGTGCTAAGAAGCCTGTTCCTAGATCCAGTACCAATGCATTGAGCCTAATATCTTCCTGCCAAAGCTCATCAGGTGAGAGGAAATTTATTACTCTTAATATTAACGGTTATTTGTGTAGAATGCAAATAGATACTGCATCTGATGTCACTATCCTCTCACGCAAAAATTGGACCAAGTTGGGCAGCCCAAGCCTGCAGCACACAACACAAAAGCCTCGTACAGCATGTGGTAATTATCTTCGTCTGTTAGGACAATTGGAATGTAAAGTTGCTTTCCGAGATTCGTCGTTTACTGGGGTATGCTATATAACGCCAGCTGATCTAAATTTACTTGGTTTAGATTGGCTCGACCAGCTAAAATTGGCTGATGTCCCGCTAAATACCATATGCAACCTGGTATCACAACGACATGACCCAGAAGCGTATACGAAGGCGGCTGAGGAAAACATGGTGATCGCATCTCTGTCAGTAGAAGACCACGCAGAATGTGATCTGACAACCGCAGTTCGCGCATTACCGGTGTCTGCAACAGACATACAAAATGCTTCTGGAAACGACCCCATCATCAAGATGACGATGAAATATGTCACTAGCGGTTGGCCGTCGAAAAAGTTTGAAGGTGACATGAAGCAACTGTATCAGCGGCGGGAGTCACTATGCATCGTCAACGATTGTCTGATGTTTGGTGAAAGAGTAGTGGTGCCAGCATCCCTTCGTGCAAAAGTTCTGAAACAGTTCCATCTTGGGCATCCTGGGATTAAAAGAATGAAGTCCATAGCCAGAAGTTATGCATACTGGCCTCACATGGATCAACATGTCACAGCGTTGGTTGAAAAATGCATGCGGTGTCAACAGGCGGCAAAGATGAATGCCAAAATTCCGCCGGTTTCATGGCCCAAACCTGAGCATCCTTGGTCCAGGATACATGTCGACTTCGCTGGCCCAATAAATGGAACTATGTATTTAATTGTCGTCGACGCCTTTTCTAAATGGCCGGAAATCAGCCCCGTTATGCCGCCCACTACAACTAAGACTATACAGCTCCTGACTGAAATTTTCTCACGAAATGGCATACCAGATGTGATCGTATCCGACAATGGCTCTCAATTCACCTCTTCCCAATTCCAGAATTTCTGTCAACGGCTAGCCATTAAACACTTACGCTCGCCACCATACCACCCGCAATCGAATGGGCAGGCGGAAAGGTTTGTGGATACGTTTAAAAGAGCACTGCTTAAGTCAAAAGGGGAGGGGACGCCAGCCGAAGCATTACAAAATTTCTTGTACGTCTATCGGACAACACCAAATGAATTGTTACCGGAGCAAAAGTCCCCAGCTGAAATCCTGATGGGAAGAAGATTGAAAACGATCCACAGCCTGATGCATCCGACTAATGCACCCTCATCAGTAAAGACAAAGCAGCAAAGACAATCCGCTTACGAAGTAGGATGCCCTGTGTTTGCCCGCGACTACAGAACGAACCATGGTCCTTGGGTAGAAGCGAGAGTGGTCAGAAGGGTTGGTCGAGTTATGTACGAAGTAGAGGTAGGAGGTGATAAATGGTCACGTCATCGCAATCAGATACGCAGACGGCTAGCCCCAGATCGTCCATCAAGAGCAGAAAGCCTTCCCCTTGACATCTTGCTTGATACCTTCAACCTACCGAGAGCCCCGCCACGAGAAGAAACTCAGCAGCAAACTGTTCTTCGTTCCCGAAGGTATCCCCTCAGACAGCGGCGAACAATAGTCAAGATGCAAGTCAACCACAGGAGAAAACGCTATTAAAAAGGGGAGGAGTGTTGGGGATGTTAGATCCCCAAAATTCACTTGATAATGCCGTATTTCGGTTTTTCACGTTCGCCAGCAGGGGCTGATCAAATGACCTTGAGATTTCAACTCCCACCAGGAAAATCAATGGCTGTGATTGGCCACAGTGTATTTTAGTATGCTATTTTCTTAACTGTCTCAAGGACGTTGTTATGTTGTATAAATAAACGAGAGTTGTATGCTTGATTGTACTGGATTGCTGGGTACTTGTGGAATATACTTTCTACGCTTACCAAGACTTCTGTTTTACCGTTGGGTTCAAGGTAGCCTTCCTGGAAGCTGGTAAAAGTATCGTTCGCGTTTATCGACTAAGGTAAACTCGTAATAGCATCAAGCATCCTAAGTGCCGAACATATCAGATTGAACATTAAGTTCATAACGAGTACGCTGGAAAACGAGTAACCATACGATTAAAATGTGTACAGATACACTTTTTCCCGAAAAGTGCAAGTTTCCGCATTATTTTTTTCAGACAGTATTAAAACACAATGAAGCCACGAATTCTTAATCATCATCCTGTGAAGCCTAAATCGATTAGACTTAAAGAATATGCAAACGTACGAACATATCTACTCCATCTCACTTTCAACTATGAAAGTCGATAATTCAAGTTCGAAAAACAAAATATTTACACAACATTAGCATCATGATATATATGAAGCATCAAATGAGTATTTATCTACTTCATATACATTTTGCATTGTCTGACTGAACATTCTTCATGACATAAACAAGAGAAAACTAGCGAATAACCATTTCGGTTTCATTTTATAATGTATTTGAGCATTTAAGTTTCACACAATAAACTAAACGAATATAAAGAATTATTACTAGGTCAAAGAAACACACAAGCATGTACTAAAATACTGAATAAAAAAATCAATGACATACTCTGATTTTCATGATGGATTTGAAACAAGTTCGAGGTGACGCGCTGGGATGCACGTGAATTGTCAGGAACAAAGCATGAGCTTTGAGACCAGTAACAACCTAATAAGATATAAATTTTATGAAACAGTTTACCGATAGTTGAGGTGCAGAAAAAAGGACATTTGCAGTTGCAAAATTCGACTTTCCGTGTTGGAAAATGAAATTTAAGTTGCAGGTAATGAGTATTGATAAGAGGCAAACATATGTCCCAATGTAACGATACATATAGAAGATGGATTCGCTATGCGTCCTTTCACGGTGCCTAAAGTAGAAGATAATGTGAATTTTTCTATCAACATACCTATTGTAGCATCTGTCTTCAACAGCATTATCATCAGATTTAAATACCCTCAAAAACTGTCGAATAACCTTCAACTTCTTAAACACTATAACGGTATCCAATGGCTGATGCCAATATGATTGAGACGATTTCTGCTATCTGACTTCTCAGTTTTCAAACGCAGACACATGTTATTGATAGTAATGACTGTTGATAGAAAAAATTCAGATCAATTCGATCGTCTTCTGCAGAAGGGAGATTCAGTGATTTTTCTTATCTCTACAAAGTTAGGCATCTCAGTGATGCGAAAATTTAAAGGAAGTCTGCACTTCTCAAGATCGATATCTTTAGAAGAAGGGGGAGCTTTTACTTGTATATACCACGAGTACTCAGTGAATAGTAAAAACTTATAATGATAGATTGTTGTTCTATCATTTGATATATCTTAATTTAGGCCTAGGAACGAAAAACACCATAATCAGTACAGAGTTTTTGGATATTGTAAAGGTCGCCTGAAATCACAACCTGATGGCGTAAATTGTATTTATTTACCTGTTCGACTGACATTCACGTTATCATGAGAGTCTATTAGTAAGTTGATATTTCTACATCAAAATCAGAATTTTCAATACCAGTATCTTGACAGTTCCATTTTGTAGCGTAAACACATAGAGAACCACAAAATCCATCATCCATCCCAAAAATACATGTGTTTATAAACCGTAGCCTGTTTAGGATCCAGACGCAAATAAGTTGACCTAACACCACTATTAACAACCTATGGTGAAAAAGAACAAAGCTACTTCTAGCTGAAGGGCAAATCAGAAAATGGCATTTAAGGTGAGTGGACAGCCAAGTTATTGCGAAAACCACAGAAATGCATCATGAGTTGGATTCTAACATGAAATCGTCAAGGTGAATGGAAACGCGGTAGACAACATATGTCGAAAATTGGAGACAGACATGCAACGAATGCATAGTGATTGAGACAAACTGGAGAGACGCACGGCAGATAGAGTAGTTGAAGAATGCGGGTTGGAGTGATTATGTTTCATAAAGGCTATCTATTACACCATGTGCAGTTTGCTTCTAGAAATCAAAATTTTAAGGTTTTTAATCAGTTAGTACATACTTTTCGTAGACCAGCTTTCCGAAATACTATATGTAAACCAACAACTGTTTGATAACGTTCTTAACTTCTGAATACACTGGTTCAAACCTACTTATCGACTGATAGTGATTCTCGCACTTAATAACTAAATGTTTTATCTATAAAATCTCTGTCTACCTCCACTGATTTTTAGTATTAACCCAGTTCATACACAGCAAGTCATATCGTTATATATCTGCGTTAATTAGACAAGCAATTATCACACTCAATTTTCCATTATGATCACTCATTTGAGTGAAAGAGAAATGTCTCCAACTTGTAAACCACTCAAAAGATCGAAATCAGTAAACCGTATGTCTGACGAATCTGTTGTTGAAAGAGGCACACCATCGACTTGTTAACACTTAACTCTTATCGATGAATTTCAGCATCGTTAGCCAACGATCTGTGTCACAACTCTCCATTATGTATACTGACCGACAAACTAGTAGATATAAAAGGTTCTATACCCAAGTATACCGAAACATCAACACAGAATAAACTTAAGTATAATCTTGTCGAGCCAAATTCTGGAAGTTCACAAACCAAGGTGTTGAATGGTGTATCTGAAACCGCTCATATTAGTCATAGCCACGGCAACGAGATACGACAGTTACAAAACTCACTTGCCCAAATTAATGATAAGATTAACCAATTAGCACCCACCACGCACATATGGGCCTCAAATAATGATAGGAACCTTGAGGAATTACCCAAAGCTGAATACATCCTTGAGTTTGCAGCCGAGGAAGCTACGAAAAGATTAATGTCTTCCTGCAGTGCGATTGTATATAATCTCCCTGACCGCACATCCCCGACCTGTCTACAAGCGTGTGATATGGCAAACGTCAGTTGTCAAGTCACACACCTCAGAAAAAAATCTGATAGATCGACTTGCCCAATTTCGTTCATATTTAGCTGCTCTAATAACGACAAACAATTTATCTGTTTGAGCGAAAATATTAGCTCGTCAACCCCGTGCAAAGACATAAAGGTTACTCCAGATCTAACGCCTAGTCAGCGTCGTATAAAAAGACGAAAGGCGACGAGATCGCACTACTGTTTCACAACAAACAATCTATTAGAGACAACTCCCAATTTCTTAAGTATAAATAAACCTATAAACAACCCAGTAGATCTTGATGAGTCTATGGACTCTAAATTTTGAAATAAATTACGAATCCCGGCTGTCATCGAAAAGTCTAAAAACACCTGTATTTCTAATCCAGGCTGTTCAAACGTTGAATCGCTTGATTATATCCTAAAAAGGAACACAATTCCAGCTAACATTACTAAATTGAAGACTAGATCTCCAAAATAAATTCCACGAGATTACGCGAAAGAAACTGAATTGTTTTCGAAAAA